GGAGGACTGTGCCTTTTTAATGAATATGACAAGTGTCTCAGCATTTTAGTTATAAGAAAATCACATGCCAAGTGCCATTGGTCTCCATTCTGCACTCTACACTATAGGACCCCTGTATTTCCATGGAATGCCAATGAAGTTAATGGAGCAAAATGTGTCACAAATTGCTATTTATGCAGAGTCAATGGCAGGATCTGGGCCTTAGTAGCGTTTTCCTGTCTATTTAAGTATAAAGTTAAAGTAAGCAAAGGGTGGTGTCACACAGAAGTCAACAACTCCTCCTCTCAGAGCAAATGCCCTACATAACTAAGTGAGCTAAAGATGGGAATTACCTTTGTGTCAGAACCAAAAAAATAATCAGTGTCTTCCTCATCACATGCTCATGCTCAGCAATTGTCATGTTTGCTGAGTGCACTTTGTTCAGTATGACTAATAATCTGGGGGAGGCTGCAAGCTAACCAATTCAGGATAGCAGAGGAAGAGAGTATGCCTCTGGCTGCTGCATGTGTGTCATGTTTCAGGGTTAGCTGCACCTCTGTCCCCTTTTCTGGGGTGTCTAACTGCCCCCGGCTCTCCGGTGTCAGACTTCGAACCTTCAAATTCTCTGAGGCAGAATCCTGCAATTCTCCCATTCTGAGGCAGAGTGTTGGGTTACATTGCCCTGTGTATTAACTGTGTTTACCCCCAACAGGTCTGACTAGGTTCAGCTACCTTTAGTTCTTCCCTTTGGGAGCTGTGACCACTGGTTATTACAGTGACCCAGAAGTGCCTTTTTAAAAAAACAAAGTACTGTTTAATCTTAACATAGGAACACAGCGTAGCAAGAGAAAAGAATTGTTAAAACAATGAACAGCCTATACACATCTATCTTACCTAAGGGCTAAGGTAGACCTCTCAACTCAGAACCCCACTCCCGCAACCTCTGCCGGGATAAGACTGCTTCCCAACAGTCTCCGCCTCAAGCTCTTCCTGAACCATCTGACCACTTGTGAGAGCATCCTGTGTTTTTAAACCCTTCTGAGGCTTTGATAGCTCTTCTCTCACACAATTCAATCTCACCATGTCTTTGAAAGAATGAGAGTTCTCCAACGCTCAGTTAGGGGCTGGAAGGTGAGATTTTCAGCTCGAGCAGAGATACGTGTGCTACATCTGATCAGACTAGTGCGCTAAAAATAGAAGTGTAGCCGCAGCAGCGCAGGCTAGCTACCCCAGTATGTACCCATCCAAGACGCAAAGTATGTATTCGGGGCAGCTAGCCCACTACATAGCCATGGCTACATTGCTAGGTTCTTTCCTCCTCAACACCCTAATGCACTTAGGGAATGTCTGTGCTGGCGCTGGAAGGTGTAATTCCAGCTTGGGTAGACATGCCTGCACTAGCTCAGGTGTAGTTCCAATGTAGATATACCCTTAGTGCAGGGTTTCTCAAACTTCATTGCATCGTGACCCCCTTCTGACAACAAAAATTACTACATGACTCCAGACAGGAGGGCCAAACCCAAAGTCTGAGCCCCGTCACCCGAAGCCAAAGCTTGAGGGCTTCAGCCCTGGGCAGGGGGGCTGTAACCTGAGCCCCGCCACCCAGGGCTGAAGCCCTTGGGTTTCGGCTTCAGCCCTGGGTGGTGGGGCTCTGACTTCGGCTTCATCCCCGGGCCCCAGCAAGTCCAACGCCAGCCCTGGCGACTCCATTAAAACAGAGTCATGACCCACTTTGGGGTCCCGACCCACAGTTTGAGAACAACATAAGAACGGCTGTACTGGGTCAGACCAAAGGTCCATCTAGCCCAGTATCCTGTCTACTGACAGTGGCCAATGCCAGGTGCCCCAGAGGGAGTGAACGTAACAGGTAATGATCAAGTGATCTCTCTCCTGCCATCCATCTCCACCTTCTGACAAACAGAGGCTAGGGACACCATTCCTTACCCATCCTGGCTAATAGCCATTAATGGACTTAACCTCCACGAATTTATCCAGTTCTCTTTTAAACCCTGTTACAGTCCTAGCCTTCACAACCTCCTCAGGCAAGGAGTTTCACAAGTTGACTGTGCGCTGTGTGAAGAAGAACTTTCTTTTATTTGTCTTAAACCTGCTGCCCATTAATTTCATTTGGTGGCCCCTACTTCTTGTATTATGGGAATAAGTAAATAACTTTTCCTTATCTACTTTCTCCATATCACTCATAATTTTATATACCTCTATCATATCCCCCCTTAGTCTCCTCTTTTCCAAGCTGAAAAGTCCTAGCCTCTTTAATCTCTCTTCATATGGGACCCGTTCCAAACCCCTAATCATTTTAGTTGCCCTTCTCTGAACCTTTTCTAGTGCCAATATATCTTTTTTGAGATGAGGACACCACATCTGTACACAGTATTCAAGATGTGGGCGTACCATCAATTTATATAAGGGCAATAATATATTCTCCGTCTTATTCTCTATCCTCTTTTTAATGATTCCTAACATCCTGTTTGCTTTTTTGACTGCCTCTGCACACTGCGTGGACATCTTCAGAGAACTATCCATGATGACTCCAAGATCTTTTTCCTGATTCATGGTAGCTAAATTAGCCCCCATCATATTATATATATAGTTGGGGTTATTTTTTCCAATGTGCATTACTTTACATTTATCCACATTAAATTTCATTTGCCATTTTGTTGCCCAATCACTTAGTTTTGTGAAATCTTTTTGAAGTTCTTCACAGTCTGTTTTGGTCTTAACTCTCTTGAGCAGTTTAGTATCGTCTGCAAACTTTGCCACCTCACTTTTTACCCCTTTCTCCAGATCATTTATGAATAAGTTGAATAGGATTGGTCCTAGGATTGACCCTTGGGGAACACCACTAGTTACCCCTCTCCATTCTGAGAATTTACCATTTATTCCTACCATTTGTTCCCTGTCTTTTTAACCAGTTCTCAATCCATGAAAGCACCTTCCCTTTTATCCCATGACAACCGCTGCCTTTAGTGTATTAGGGATGTTCAGAAGGAAAGAAACCATTAGCTGTTCTAACTCTGCCATTCCAAAAGCCTTGCAAGGTAACTAAAACTTAGCAGTCCTGTGTTTTCAAGCAACATTTTAATACTATTTCCATTCCCAAAGCATCTGAGACGGTTATTTATAATTTCCCTTAGGTGGGCACTAAGTCCAAGCATAACTAGCAAGCTAAACCACATCTTTGTGGAAGGCTAATAACCTTTGCAGGCTGTAAACACCTGTACGGTTTACTTCTACTCAGTAACACTAGAAGCTGGGACCGGATTTGAATTATATGACCAAAGGCAGGAGAAGAAAATTTTTCCCAGGTACCATATAATTTATTATGGCACACTGAACAAAATCTTGTATATATTAATCAACCTATCTCCTCTCAATGTAACCTAAAGACAAAAAAACCAAAAACAGAACCACCCAGCACTATGTAGGATCTTATGTATGTGCAGGTTAAGGATGTTGTGCTAAAACCAGAGATCTGATGGGCTGAATATCAATCTACTTTGCAATAGGAAGTAAATAAAACTTTATGAAGAACTGTATAGAAGGTTCCAGGATATATCTTGATCATTTTTTTTAGTGCCAGAAATAAAAGAAAAAAATACCATACTTCCCTCTCGATAAGATACTAGCTGCTAATTATGGTCATGCTACCGTATTTACTGCAGCATTCCAGACACAGCTGCCAACCAAAACAGTTTTGCCTGGCTCCTGGGAAGGGAATATCGTTATCTATATTCCAGTATAATGCAGAGAGATGGAGAGAGAAAGAGGCAAAGACCTGTGAAAATATCAGATTTAGGGATTTCTTTTTTATGCCATTTCTCTGTCCCCTGCCTAAACTATGAGTTGGACATTCAAGAACGTACATTAATTTAGCTGGAAGTCACACTTAAAAACTGTTTTTAACTCTCTAATAAAAATAGCAGCCAATTTTAGAAGTGACTAGTCTTTTGCGTCCCTGACTTGAGATGCCTTAAAAGGAGCTTGATTTTCATATAGTGTTGAGCAAGCACCTTGGGGGGGGGGGAAAAACCAGAAAAGGAGGGTTTTGAAAATCTTGGCCAGTAAGGGTAGATCTACACTGTGATTAAAAATCCGCTGCTGTCCCATGCCAACTGACTTGAACTCACAAGGCTCGGGTTAAGGGGTTGTTTGAATCCAGTGTAGATATTAGGGCTTGGGCTGGAGCTTGGGATCTAGAACTTGGGATCTAGAACTGGGAGGCTCCCAGAACCCGGACCACTGCCTGAGCCCAAATGTCTGCACCGCATTTAAACAGTCCCTGACTCTGAGGCCCACATGTCTGAGTCAGCTGGTAGGATGCTGTCTAACTGCAATGTAGTTAGACAGCATCATTTAGGTGTACCAAATCAACCTGCAGTCCTCTCTCTCCTGACACAACAGTGAGCAAGCATTAGTTTCTCACAAAATTTCCATCTAGTTTCTCTCAGCAAACAAAGCAAAGCAGTTCAGAGATCAATGTGACTCAAAAAAAGAGCATGAGACTTCTCCACCAATTTTCTCTCTATTTCACAATTCTCTAAATGACTATATAGGGGAATAACCCCAGCTACTAATATCAAAGACATCTCAGTAAAAATCATGTGCCACCGTACATACAAAGAGATTGAAGGATTTTTCAAATCTCTGAAAAGAGCTGTTGCGAAATCATGTTGACATCTGTTATGCCATGAACGTTGCCAGGACACAGGAGGCAACTCCCAAGTTAAAGAAATTCAAAAGAATAAACATTGTTTAATCCTTTCTTCCATTTGCAAACTCATGAACACATTTGCTGCATAGGCTGATTCTCCGGCAAAGCAAGAAAAAATGGGGTCTGGGGCCGGGTAGGAGGAATTTCCAGTAACAAAACCAATGCAGTAGACTCAAAAGAACTCTGGGATTCAACTGTTTTTTGTACAAGCCTCTTGAAATACATACTGTAGGAAGTATAACATATAGCAGACCGTGTATTTTTTTGGCTGAATTATGAAGGTAATACTCACTCAGTGCATACAGGGAGAGGATTATTCCAGCCAGGCAAAACCCTTCAAAAAACCTGAGTGTGCTGAACATTGTCACATTTACTGAGAGAGCCACAGTCAGTCCAAATATCAGAATGAATATGACCGAGAAGAGTAGCACTGGCCGTCGACCAACCCTACAAATGGGAAGGAAGTGGGGAGAATAGTGTTAAAATCCAAGGTGGACACAATGCTAGATGCTTATCTCTTGCAGAGGACATAGGCACAGATGGGAACAAATTACACAGTTCCTCCCAAATGCTGCTACCAATTTTTAATAGCAGCCAACACAAATTTCCCCCCTCCACACACAGACACTTCTCGTATTTCTGCTTATTAAATTCAATTATTGCTTTGGTTAGTCTTGCAAAGATTTCATAGACAAATTAATTTATGAACAGATTAAAGCAAATGGCATTAAGTGCATCACTATTTAATATAAGAGCCATTTTCAAAGCCTGAAAGTGAATAAAACAGCAAATAAATATATAAAAATTGCAGTAAGTGCAAGCCATTAACAAAAGTTATTACAGGCGATTTGGGAAAAAGCCCTTAGTTTTCCATGGTGAGGAAAGGTCACTTGATTAATAGAAGCTCTCTCTCAAGAGAAGAGACATTTTCCATGCCCATTACATTTACCAGAGAATTCTTCTCTTGCCACATGCTTCAGCTCCACAAATCTCAGCTTTCGTTTAGTTAAAAACTAAGTTTCTAGCCCCCATGGTTGTGGAAACAGCCTCAAAAATGTAAACCAAGCATAAACTGAAGAAGCATCACTTTCCTGAGTCTTCAGAGAGCCTGAAGCAACACCTCTAAAAGGGTTGAACTGCTTTATTCATCTCAATCAGCACCCCCATGGATTCCACAATCCACCAGCTATGAAACGCGGAGTATTTCCAAAGGGCCACAGGATTCAACATTATTTGCGGCCAGACACCTGCCATTTTGTTTTGGACAAAGGATGCAAGCAGCAGTGTATGGGATGAGATATTCAGATGCACTTGCAGATACATGCATCTAATGCTATAAAATATGCACTGCTGTCAAAAGAAAAATGGTCTAAAGACAGGATGTGAGGGGCATACTCTGTGCGTATACAAGCATGAATATTGCCGTACACTGAAAATTCTAGGTAAGCCCAATTTCCAGTGATCACGGTGCTCCTGTAGAAAGAAGCAGTAAAAGTTTTTGGCAGCACATTGTGCTAGCCCATAGAGTGACAAACTGCCCTACTACAGAAGGATGTCTTCTGCAGTGCCCATACCACACTGTATTAGAACACGTGCTGCCATCCATAATACACTGGTTGTTGGATAAGGATTTGGCCCCAAGTTTGAATAAATGGAGTCTCCAATGCTGGATCCCATAGATCTTCCACCTATACCTACCCACACAGCTAAGGTTTCCCCTAATAATTACTTGGTGAATGAAAATCACTATAGTGTCATGCGGTCATTACTTATAGCTTTAGAAGTTTCCTTCTAAAGGAATACCATCAACTTAAAAATCTGTATGCTGCAAACAAATGTCATTATCTAGATAACTACCACAAACTCGGATTATTAAAAGTGAAAATTTTCAAAATCCAATTTATGCTCTCTCTCAACTTAGACAATGCAAATAAATTAAGCCAGTTTCCCTTTTGGTCACCTACATATGTGTTTCCCAAACTTTTAAAAGCTGAGCACCCTACCCACACCGCTTTGCGGGACAATGAAACAAATCATTCACTCTCATCCATCTCCCCACAACTCTGTCACATGTTGTTTAAGATCTATCCTAATTTTAGAATTTTATTTAAATGAAATAAAACCATATTCCATTGTACATATCCGTAAGGCTTTATTTTAAGGAGCAATGAATATTTAATACTGGACATTAAAGAAATATTTCAATGCAGATTATTTTATTATTTAAAATTGAAATTAAGATGCTGTGAAGCTTTGGGCCACATTGCCTCACACATGCAGCAGGGTTCGCCTCCTCACAGCTGTGAGGTATGGCACCAAAGTGAGCAGTAATCATGTAAATCTTCATAACACCACATCTCCTTGCGTCTCTTCCATGCTTCAATCAGTAGTGAAAAAAGTATAATCAACTGAATTAGCATCCACTGGAATGAATGGGGCAGGTTCAAACCATAAAGCTATTGTTTCAGGCTCTCTGCAAGCTCAAGCAGATATCACTTTGGTCACAGTATAAAGTTTTTCTTTGTAACCATACCAACTAGAGATTTTTTTAAAGTGAAAACAGATTCTGGAGAATAATTGAGAATTCTATGAATGCTCCCATTCCCCAATAATCCAGAGGGATGTACCCCACACTTAATGAAGATATATGTGTTCTTAATACTGCAATATTTGGGTTTCAAACAATGCAAGGGAATGTTCATTTGTTTCAAAACAACTTTTAAAAAATAGCAAAACAGTGGAAAGGTTCATAAAGGCCCTTTAAAAATAAGATGAACATTCTGGGCCAAATGTGAGCTGACATTGTCCCTTTTATCAGCAAATATGGCTAAAAAGTAATTTGTGATTGTAGCATCTATTTGACAGAACACTAGAGGCTAGTGCTATCTAAAACAAACGCTCTGTTTTTACATAATTAGAAAATATGTAATTTTGGTCTGTCATGACAGCAGTAACAAAGTGTGTCAACAGCAAATAATTAGAAATCAATGGTTAAGTATTTTCCTTTTATGTTATTTATCATGCTATAAATGACTCAGCCCAAGCAATTAAAACAGTTTTGTACTGCCAACTCATGCTACTCTTTTCAGAGATTTGCAGATCTAATTATCAAAAGGTTCTTCCTGAATAGTAACTTTTTTTTTAAAGTTCTACAGAGATGCTAAGTATCTTTATTCATTTAAATTATATAGCATTAAAAGATTTTTCACTCACCAGTCAGCTATACATCCTGTTATCAAGTAGCCAAAGATTAAGCCTACCAGTAGGGAGAATTTAGCAATATGGACCTTCCAGGAAGATTCACAAACGAGATCCCACTGAAAGAAGAAGAGAGATAGGTACATTGAAACATACTTGGTTCCTCTCTGGTGCATTTAAACATACAGATGTTGTTGTAGCTGTTTTCAATTTTAGCATTCACACTTAAAAATGTTCTTAATTCATTGTTCAAGTCCAAATCCAATTCACATTACTGAGAATGAAAAGACTCTCCTTTACTTCGGTGAGAGTTGGATCAGGTGCTTAGTTATACACTAATAAATTTGGTCATTTAATCTTTCTTTTCAAGTTTGTTTATTTGGATTTATAAAAATGGGCATCTATCCATATGTTCTAGGTAGTCTTGAACTAACTTTAAAATATATCCAAACAATACCCCAACATGTCAAAAGCGCAGCAGTAGAATTCTATATAAACCACCACCAGGAAACCAGACAATTTCAAATCTCAGATTTCCCTAATCCTCTGTTTTCAAATGCCTGGGGAAGATGATCAGTTTCGTAACAGGCCTCAGAGTCACCCGGTTCAGGCTACTTCAGACCAATTAATGATAAGCTTTTTGCAACACTGTATAGTATCCCCCATCAGTACTCCACTTTCTCTAGAGTAAGATAGGCTGATGGTGTAAGAAAAACAGCCTGCACTTAGGAAAGGCAACGTTCTATTGACACAGAGGTAAGAAGAGCAGTAGGAGAATCAAGTGCAACTGTGTGTCGGCCTGATTCAGCTCTTTCCACAGTGCCGTTTATGGTGCAGTGACAAGAGGAAGGCGGAATTGCACTCTAAAACCATCTCAGTTGCTGAAATTGTAGTACTCCAAAGGGGGAGTGTAAATGAGTGGCCTCCTCCCAAGTGACCCCTCATGGCCTCAGGGCAACCTGCAAGTGGCCTCACTTCAGTTTCTCTCTTGAATCCCAGTAACTTCAATACAAACACGTCCTCAAGGCCATCACAGTTTAACAACAAAACACAGTGCAAAAGTCCACGACCAAAAACCCTACACATAGTCCATATAACCCCAGTGCATGAGATCTTTAACACTCAGCTCCCTTCCCACCATCCTGGTGTCTTCTGCCAGACCTAGACTCTTTCACAGTCCTCCTCTGTCCCTCTGCTGGGATCATCGCCCCAGTTTTCCTTCTGAGGTACGACCTTGCTCTTTCCAGCCAAAACTCACAGCCTCTCCAGTGGGAGCCTCTCATGCTTCCTCTAGAACCTAGCTCTCTGAAGGAGATGCCAGCAGATAAGCCCCTTGGCTTGTCCCCTTCCTTCAGTCCCCTGGACCTTAGCTCTGGCTTAGGATCAGCAGGCATTTCCCTCTTCTCCCATCTTCAGCCCTCTCCAGCCCTACTTCTCAGGCTTGGGGAGTCCAGCCTGGAAACCCCTTGCTGTTCTCTTGCATTCAGCCCTCTCCCAGGAACAGCTCTTCCTGACTGAACCAGTTGGCTCTAATCCTCTGGCAGTTCCTTCTACCAAGCCTCTCTCAGGCACCTCCTACCTGCCCCAGATGCTGCCCTGCTCTCTTAAATAGCCCAACTCGGTGCTCCTGGACTGGAACAGAAGAGCTCAGCCCTATTTTATTACATGGGCTAGCTACTCTGTTACAGGGAGGCACAGTATTCCAGGAATATCATCACTAGAAAACTATCACATCCTGCCCGATTTCCTGCAAGGAAAAGAAAACTATCAAGAAAAATTGCTCTGTAATTTCCATTCATTTTCCCAACATCGGAAAATTTTGTGGTGAAGGCATTGGCCAGGGCCTCAGGAGATCTGGGTTCAAATCCTGGCTCTGCCCCAGACTTCCTATCCATAATGTGGAGGTGGTAATGCTTCCCTACCTCATAGGGGTGTTAGGAGGATAAATTCATAATGTTTGTGAGATGTTCAAATACTAGTGCAATGGGAGCCATGAATATTCCTAGAGAGATATTTGCAGCTTTCTAAATTAAGTGCAATAGATATTGGCGGGGGAAGGAGAGTGCTGTTCCTTTCCACCTTAATTTGAAGTGTACATGGTCATCCATGTGCACGGTAATGGCCCAATCAACATTTTGCAGGACATGACTGCAAGATCAAACATACAGAATCAAATAAGTCATTTGCTTTTCAATTATGTATTTAGAACCAACGTCCCAAGTGAATGTTAGATTAGATGCATTTGGGGTTAGGTGGATTTGCAGGATTCATTAATCTCACAAAAGGGGGCTAGATTTAAGCCCATCTGGTTCCAATAAGAGACATGCTCCCTGCAAAATGGTGAGTGGAGTATACCATTTGACAGAAAGCATAACACCTGCTTGAGCAGCACCATCTCAATAGAAGTCAGGAGAGATTATACCAGCAACACACCATCCAATTACATTGCCAGCCATTCTTTATGTAACAGTATATGCTATTTATTAAGTACAGCATATTAGCCTTTTGCAGATTAATCCATCCCTCTACAAACACCTGAGCTCAGTCTTTTGAAGCCACACCTATTTTTCCTCTCCCATAGTGTGCTGTCACTGAAGCACAACCTGCATGATGTACATCTGTGATAGTCTACTACTGAGGCCATTTGCAGGCTATGTGCTGCATGTCTAAAGGGGGCACTCAGGCAAAAGTGGTCAATATCAAGAAGCTAATAGTAAAAATAAATATTTCTCACCAAGTGCTTACAAAGTATTTACTGTAATCCGTGAGCAAGGCACGAGACTTACTGTTAGAATGACAAATTTGTCAAGTTTACATTTTTAAAGGCGTTTTTATTGGGGATGGAGGGAAATGCAATTAATGCCAATTTGCACACACAAACCAGACCTCAGGATTTTAGGGTTACTATATATTCACAAACACAAAGTTACATATGACCTCTAGAAATGTTTTCCAAGTGAAGATGGGTTACCTTGCTAATCGTGAGGTTGCATAATGCCCAGCAGTAGGATAAATCACTTGTGAAGGTGGATTGCAAATTGAGTTCACGTTATGTCAAAATAGTTATATTAAAACACTATTTAAAAGAATAATTTAAAGGCCATGTATACAAGTCTGCCATTTTCATTTTGTTATTATCAGAGAAACAGTAATGTTATCCAAAGGCAAAAAGTGTGGATATCCTGGTGCATTTTGATACGTATGGCATGCTATTACTTGTCAACAAAGAGACCTGACCATAATACAAACTGAAGATAGCAGATGTTCAGAAAGATTACATATGGGTGAGGGTTCAAGGTTCAAAAGTGCTGAAATCTCATGAGTTACTCATGTAATATTTCAGGCCAAGACAAAGGAAATCTGACAAATTCAGCTGCTCTATTACATGCAGTAATAGTAACTCGTTTTTGGAATTTTTTAGCCTATCACCAGGCCCCGATGGAGCCCTCAGAATCCACCTTTTGTTACAGAATTATGAACCTGAACCTAAGGTTTCAATTTTTTTAAATTAAGAGCCAGATCCTCAACTGATAAAAGTCATCATAGCACTACTGGCATCAGTTTACACCAAGAGAGCGTCTACCCCTATGTTTCTAGTGTTGTGCAGTTAGTCTTGAAAGCATGATCTAATGTAAGCCAATGCAGCACAGACTTCCTGGGTCTGTAGATGGTCTGTAACAAGAATTCTGAGAGGTCTGATCAGACCCATAAATCCCAATGAATTAGTAACTCTAAAAATTATAGATGACAATTTAAAATGTCACCATTTTAAAACTCATGTATCAGAGGGGTAGCCATGTTAGTCTGGATCTGTAAAAAGCAACAGAGGGTCCTGTGGCACCTTATAGACTAACAGACGTATTGGAGCATAAGCTTTCGTGGGTGAATATCCACTTCGTCAGATGCCCACGAAGGCTTATGCTCCAATACGTCTGTTAGTCTATAAGGTGCCATTTTAAAACTATTTCACAGCTTATTGTTTTAGCAGAAATTTTCAGCTAGTGTACCAGAATCCCAAATTGCCTAGACCCCCAGTTTATCCAGCTTCCCCCATTACAACTGCCACAAACCAGAGATAAATTATGCCAAACTATACACAGGTTATCTACACCTAGCATGCACACAGAGATGTAATAGTTGTATTGGGCTACATAGTGCCACAATTTTCTTTGGGCAGAACTCCTTGCTGGTTTCACTGGGTTGTTCTGCATGAAAACTGATAGCATGCTCAATAGTATGCTCAAATAAAAGGTTGCCACATACATAAAATGTAATGTTTTGTTTTCTCTTGAACAAGTTACATAAATTGACATTCTCTTTTTTCCTCCCGCTGCACAGAGAAATAGAAACAATAAGGAACTTGTCCGATTCAAAATATAACTGATTCCTCCAGACTTCCATATTAGAAGTTTTTGCTATATATACACACACACATAAAACATTCAAACTCAATCCAGTCATAAACCAAACATGGAAAAATTCAGCCCAAAACCTTCTGACAAAGTTATAAGCATCTAAAAAACAGAGTTGTAAGTAATAGATAATAGGTATTGCTGCCATTCCACCTGTACTATCACATATTCTACACCCAAGTGCACGGATATTGCATACACACACAATTTAATATAGAAGCTATTTAACAGCACAGAACACGGTCACTACATTACATTACATAAAAAAGACAGTTATTGTTCCATAACTGGTGTTCTTCGAGATGTGTTGCTCATGTTCATTCCATATTAGGTGTGTGTGCTCGTCACATGCACCGGTGCCGGAAGTTTTTCCCTCAGTGGTACCCATTGAGGACCAGCTCTGGCACCCTCTGGAGTGGCGCGCACATGCCGCTGTATAAGGGGCACCGCCGGCTCCCACCCTCAGTTCCTTCTTGCCAGAAACTCTGACAGTGGGGAAAGAGGGCGGGTCATGGAATGGACATGAGCAACACATTTCAAAGAACACCAGTTACAGAACAGGTAACTTCGAGTGCTTGCTCATGTCCATTCCATATTAGGCGACTCCCAAGCAGTACCAACGGAGGCGGGTAGGAGTTCACGGACGTGTAGATTGCAACACAGCTCTGCCGAACCCAGCGTCGTCTCTGGCCTGCTGAGTGATGGCG